TAATTTTCTATCTATTCAGCCAAACCACAGAAGAGAGATCAAATTAAGATAAAATAGCATGTTGTATGTGATTTATGGGGATATATACCTGCTCACGTTCTGCAGTCTTCCTTAGCTTGTAGATGAATTCAGCAATCGCCACAAAGACCGACAGCACTAGGCCAGAAGCCAGCACGATGAATATACCACCCAGGTTCTGGATACCCATGGGGCCTGTCTCACGACGCTCTTCATCCAAGCAGCTGTTCCCGCTCCACCACTTCTCTTTCAGCATGTGTAGGCGCCCATCCTCCAAGATGCTTAGGATCGCTATGGTGATTTTGTCCCTGTATGGGGAGCCTGGAAGCGACATAAGGCCTGTTTTACTTGGAAGAAATGCCAGCTGCAGTCTGTGATTATGTGGCTCATAAACACATTGTGGCACACAGTCTGAATAGTACGGAGAAACAACCATCTTGTCCTGCTGCGTTTTCTAAAAAGCTTCACCCTCATACTTCAAAAGGTGACAACTCATATAAGAGCTTGATTTGTTTTATGTCACCATGATTCTCAAATATATTCACAGGTGATTTGCATGTCTTACCGAGGGGAGTGCCAATGCCGTAGCCTTTGCTGTCGATGAGCCCTCCCACCTGGGTCAGGTTACAGTTCCTCCTAGTGATGTAATCAATGGTGGTGGACTCCATTATGAGGGCATAGTCTGACTTCAGCACCCTCTGAATCCCATCCTCAATAGACTTCACCAGTGACGTGCTTGGCTTGCTGCTCATGAAGGCCCACATCTTCTCAAAAGTAGAAACCTTAGATTTCTGGAAGAGATGGAAAACATTTTTTTGAACAATCTTTCTCCCTACAGAAAATAGTTGATACATATTTTTACCACTGGGAAATAATAAAATACCTATATTTTGAAGCTAGAATTACTGCTAACTTTGAAATATTGTTAGTGTCCCTGATGAAGGGCAGAATAACTGTACACCCATGGGGAGTTTTAAATGCCTGATTAAAAATGGTGAAAGGCAATACATTTGTAACAGTATAGACAAATTTCTTTCACGAATATGGATTCTTTAGCCAGTGACCAAACAGATTTATGTGATTACTCCCACAGATCTCCACTGTTACAGGATTAAAGGGGAGTAAATTGAAGCTTTGTGCACATCTATTCTCATAAGTGCTACTGAAGCAGCAATAATAGAATGCCTCTCCATTAGTCTTGCATCAGGCTATGTGGTATTTCATGCAATTTTATGTGAGGTCACATTTATGCCATGTCTAATCCTAGATAATTACTGTCTAAAGACTTTAAGCCATTTCAAATTGTGAAAGATGCTGTTATACGAAGCCCTCCATTATGTGTAACTCCAATAGACACCCAGTATTTGTTGTTTTCTACTGTGGTACGATAGTCTGATATTAAAACTTAAAAGCACCAATTAGGATTATTTGCAAGTATTGCCATCTTATAGGTCGGTAAATTTTAAAAAGAAACAGGACCATATGGCAACTTATGACAACTGATGCTGGTTTGAATTATAGCAGTATGTGATTCAAAAGGTCTCCTGATGATGAATCCCTCTCCCTGCTTAGAGTACAACATGGCATACAGCCACATCCAGCAATTTCTTTCAACCTTTTCACAGCAGACGAAAACTTCATTCTTTAGAAGCAGTTGACTTGTCTACATGTGCCCTTCAGTGCTCTTCATATCTTGTGAAATTTAACAAAACAACAGCCTCTCATAGGAGGACATTCGTTTGACATGGCAACCCAGCCCAAAACTTAAATTGTGTCTTCTTATACCTTGTCATCACTTAATGATTAGCTCGGTGGACATTTATTGAAGTTAGTATCATACTGTATTTGGTATTTTGGGGTCAGTGTATTTACTTACTGCATTTCATTCCAAGAATATTAAATGTGGTTTAATAATGCATATTTAGAGTTACATATGTCTATTAAAAAGTACATCAATTTAAGTTATTTTATCACACGTAGAAAATACTTCATTACAGTATCTGGTCCAATGTTTTCACGTTTATTGCCACAAAA